GGTGTACTTTCCCACATCAGTTATCTTCTCAAAGCAGATTTTAAAATATCTGGATAAATAACTGTAAACTCTGATAAAAATTCTTCTTACATTTGTGTAACATCTCATATTTTATATGTTCTTGAGGTGAATACTCCAAAATAACAGTTATTTAAAGTAATTCTCACTACAAAATTTTCAAAAATCATAAAGCAAAACAAACAAAGCAAGTTTGTAAATCTAGAACCGAAACAGCCTTTTCTGAACCTCAGTGAAATAGTATAATGGCCAGGTACCAAGAATCTGTCCTGATGCCATTTTTCTTATCTGAATTCTCTGGTCTTTAGTTCCCTTGTTTCTAAAAAAAATAAATAAATAAAGATACACAATTGGATGATCTCTAAGTACCTACTAGGTCCAATAATATGTGTATAACCCCTTTATGAAATAATGTTCTAAAAATTTGAAAAAATCTATATTTTAGAAAAGTGAGAAAAGTAATATCAAGCAAAAAGAAAAAAAGAAATCAAAATTTGCCACTAAAAGTTAAACACTTTAGAGTTTAACACCATTAGTCACTTTGGAGAGTATTATTCTGCCTTTCTCTGTCATTATTCGCTATTTTAAAAAGGAAGAACACTATCTATTCACTATTGTAATCTGTTTTTTAAAAATATAATTTGTTGAACATATTTTAGGTAAGACAGTTATTGATGTTATACTTCTGCTTTGTCACTGTTCAAAGTACTTTTTATTATGACACAAAATAACTATCTGAGGTAGATGATGTTATTCTTATCTTACTGATGAGAAAACCAAGTACAATCAGGTTATACTGACACATCCAAAGCCACATGGCTAATAAATGGTAGGGCTGAACTCTGCCTGGGCTGCTTGGCTCCAGGTTCCTCATGTCTGTGTCCTTATCTCCTGGCCCCACATTGGAGCCATCATCTGAGATGTAGGAAGGAGTGGGCCATGTGAGGAGCTGGGGAAAAGGGAACGGGGAGCCCCAAGGGTCTGCAGAACTCTAGTGTGCTGGGGTGAGTGGTAAATGGTCAGTGAACAGACATGGGACTCATCACACCTCGTTTGTATCAGGAGCTAGGCCAAGGTTCACTGTTCACTTTTTAATGACTCACTGTGACCTCTCGGGCTACAAATAAGGAATCATAATCCAGACTGCCTAGCTGAAATCCCCCCCCCCAAAAAACCAAGCTGAATATTGGGAAATACAGTTCTAGCTACATGTGCTCTTAGAAAGGTAAAGCTAACAATTAGCCCAGTTCAGTCTTCAAACTTCTTTGCCTTGTTTTTTTCCCTTTTCTGAGGTAGACAGAAGGTGTGAAATTTTGAGTGTGCTTCAATGATCAAAACGATTGCACAAATTCTATACTCGCCTTGCACTTAATGAGTCTAATATACAGTCACCAAATCCCAGATCTTGAGGAGACAGAATTTCATTGATTTTACTCTCACAGAAGATTTTAACAAGGTTGTCCTCTTTATTTTGCAATTTCTTCTTGATTTATAGTTTCCCTTTTCTCTCACCTTCAGAAAAGAGCTAATTAAATAACCTATTTTGTGCTTAATAACAAAGTTTGAGTGTTCATTTTATATACTCCAGTGTAAATGGAAAATACATGAATTTTCACCATGTGATGCTCATGGAAATTAAGAATGAGTGGGCATTAATGACTGAAGAATGAGATCCTTAGTCTGCTAACTTTGTGTTAAAATATTTTAATACAAAATATTTGTCATCTCTATGAAGATATATTAGATAAATGAAGGTGAATCTAAAAGCCAGGGGAAAGGCAGAGTTGTTGCCAGTTTGAAGTGTACATGATGAATCTGTAGTGCTTGTGTTCCTGAATGTTCGTTTCTTGTTTTTTGAAGAAGCAGTTCTGTGTGGCGTCTGTCCCTGGCTATATGATAGTATACCAAAGTCAATATGTAATTACATCTATAACTTGACAGACCAAAACAGATAATACCACAGAACAGATATGGAATAAGTGAATAAGTGAACTTTGGGTAGAAGCCAGAGGGTCTGTATTTTTAAGTGATTTCTTACAAAACGTCACTGGAGCATATCTTTCAAAAGTTTCTTCATCTGTCAGTCTGGAGAGATATAGAACTGATAGCTTTTGACAGAGCTAGTACCTAGTCTACTTTTCTCTTTAAGCTGATAAGAGTTTTCAGTTTTATTTAATATAATGCAGCTTAATCCAACATATTAATTTAACATTTGCCATGTGGCAAGCACTCTGCTGGAATGCAGTACATAGTCAGATGAAAATGATGATCTTTTCTTGATCATAATGTGAGTGGGGTGGGGAAAGCAAGCTGACAAAGATGAAAATACCAGATGAATGTTATGATAGAAAGATGGCTAAGAAAGCACAAAACAAATAATTCTTCCTGTTGCCAAGGGAGAAGTTATGTATTTGGTTTTACAAATAATTGTTTAAAATAGTATTTTTGATTTTCCCCTTGCAAACCTGAACAGTAAAACCATTTCCCATATACTCAGTTGCTATGCCAAAAACCTATGTGTCATCCTTGATTTCCTCTTTGACTATTTCCCACATTTAAGGAATGAGCAGGTTCTGGCAGCTTTACAGGCAAACTATATCCTGAATCAATTTCTCTCCTTCTCTGCTGTTACTCCCCAGTTTAACCCATCATCATTCCCAACTGAATAACTGTAGTAGTATTCTGATTGGACTTCCAGTTTTCACTCTTGTTTTCTGAAAGTCCATTTTCCATATAGTAGCTAGGAAGTCTTCTTAAAAACATAAATCACTCTTGTATACAATTCTCTAACAGCTTCTCACTGCACTCAAAGTAAAATCTGGTAATTTCTCTATGGCCTCCCTGTCCTGGCCCTAGAATCTCTTTTAACCTTAATTCTATCCACCCTCCACCCTGCTAACTATGCTCCAACCATGCTCACATTCTTTGTATTCCCTCAACATGCTGAGTGCTTTTTTTCAGGCCTCAGGGCCTTTGCATGTGATGTTAACTCAGCCTGGAAAGCTCCATTCCCTGATCTTAAGAGGTCTGACTTCTTGCTATTCAGGTCTCAGCTCACATGTTCCCTCCTTAGAAAGGCTTTCCATGGCTGTCTAAAGTGCACATCCCTGCCACAGAGCTGCTATTTTATCCTACTGGTTTATTGCTATCTAAAATAATAGAATTTTTTTGTTTATGTTTCTTTGTGTCTGCATCCCGAAGAAGAATGTAAGTGCCTCCTGTTCACCAGCACTCAGCATAGTGACTGTCACACAGCAAGTTTTAAATAAATGCATGTTAAATGAATGAATAAATGAATGGTTAAAATCTAAATTATTTGCTGAAAATTTCACAGTCTATGTAGTAAGGATGCTCAGACCCTCTCTTCAGAGCTGCTTAGTCTGTAAATATTCTTCTGGAAGGTTCAGGTTCAGAGCCTCACTTGGACACAAAGTCCACTGACAAAACAGAGGGAAAGAGCAACCAACTTGGGGGGTAGAAATCGGAGTTCCAGTTTTGCATTTGTCAAGTTTTTATTGTATAAATTCAGGTAAGAGGTGTTACAGTATAATGCAAGGAAACATTGTGAGAGTTTAAGATATCAGGCTCTGAAGTCAGTAAGAGATGGGTGCTGGCTTAAAAATCTTGGAACCATTAAATCCTTATTTTTAACAAATGTGGCTGAGCCCAGTTTCCCCATCTGCAAAAGTGAATGTTTATAATATAGCTACTTGAGATTTAAATGAGATAATTCACATACAGTTCTGTGCACAGTGAGTAAGCACATATTAAGTGTCAAATAGATGTTTGCTATTAATGTTTTTGGATGATAGTATCCTCACTTGTGTGGTGGGTCTAGTCATTCCTGTTCATAATGGAAGATCTGAATGTGTACTAGACAGGGAAGAGAATTAAAAAGAATAGAAACCTGAATATGTCCATTATGACTGCTTAAATCATGATATCAGACCTTGTTGAAGGGCATATGTCTTTGTTTTAATTTATTCAACAAATATTTATTGAGAATCTTCGATGTACCAGGTGCTAAACTGGTACAGCAGAGGTGGCTGTGAATAAGGTACTAAATGTGCTTTTAAAAAGGCAAATTGCTAGTAAGACAGACAGTGAAGCACACAGGCAATTGTGATGCAGAATTCTGAGATCTTGGGGGGTATGGGCATAGACTTGATACAGAAGGTACCTGACTCAGCATGGTTGGGTGGCAGGGTGGGCAAGCAGAAATGGCTTCCTGGAAAGAGTGATAACTTTGAAAAAACAGGAGGAATCAGCAACAGTTTCCAAGCGAGAGGCTGAGAGGATAGGATTAAGGAAAGGAGGAGCATTTCAAGAAGAGGGAACAGCATATATAAAAACCCATTGTGGGAAAGGGCATGATACTCCTAGAGTTTGGCATACGCAACTGTCTTTACAAAGTACGTGGTGATTTTTACTACACATTGTTAAGTCATTTAGGTAATTAAGAGTATATAAATTTCATATATTTTCTTGAAATATTCTAATAGTGTGGGGAATTAAAACTGTCTCAAATAAGCCTTGTTACGTCTATATTTCACTGTGGTGGGAACTATGCCTTCAGTATTGTAAATCCAGAGGTTATTTGGATAATCGGACACAGAATACTAAATTACATAGAATTGATTAATGAGCTAATTGTTCAACCTTTCACTTCATTCTGACTGTGTATACAGTTTAAGTGAGAGAGAAACAAGAAATATCTTCCTTTGTTATTTATATTCACCTAAATCCTCATTCTATTGCTGTTGAGATTAGCAATTAGATTTCTAATTAGTTTTCCAAAATGAATTCATGGATTTATTTCTTACATAAGTGGAGAAAATATGGGTACCAAATATAGACAGCATTAAACTTTTCTTGCGTTTAATTTAGACAATAAAGCTTTGTGTGCCAATAACATAACACCCTTCCACGTTCAGCCTGTGATTGCAAAAAACAGAATTAATAAAATTACTTAGAAAACTCACCATCGTTTCTCAATATTAGTGGTGTAGGTGGCCCCAGGACCTTGTGGTTTGTCACAGTATTGGTAACCACACAGGTATAATTCCCAACATCTGATTTTTCTACTTTGGCAATATACAGATTCCCAGTCTCCTGAGAAACAAAGCGGCGATTATCCTGATAGGAAGGGTATTCATTGAAGATCCAGGCATAACTCAGCTCTGAAAGTAAAAAAAAATCTTCATTACAAATATGTCTTTTGGCACTGGAACCCTACTGCTTTCATGAAAGAAATGATCAGGTTAAAAAATTTATATACTCTTTTTCAGCCTGCTAAAATGACCTTTTTTCAGCCTTCTAAATAGAGATAGAAAGTAATCACAGTCCCCCATGGTATTTTACCAGCCTTTCTACTATCAGTCAATAAGGTTTTATTTCCAGCGAACTAGAAGATACACTGATAGTTGATTAAGTGATGTCCAATCTCTTTAAGTCAAGGGCTAAGCATTTACAGTTTGCTAACCATATGTCAGGCCCTATGCAACATGTATTGAGTAATGCTCAAATTACAGACTCAAGGTATCTATAATCTTGATACAGTAATGCTGGAAGCTACCCTGGAAACTACTTGGATCATTTCTTTCATTTTATAGCTATCATTCATTATATTACATCATAATGCCACATACTTGCATAGCAGTTTATGATTCCTAATACATTTGATAGTTTTCTTTCCATTAAGTGAGAAACTGGCACAGAGGAACAGAGTAACTTATCCAAACTCTTAGCCCTGATTAGCAACAGAATAATTTCTGAGTCTCAATGCAGCCTTCTCCCAATGCCTCCTACCATCAGCTCAAATTCTTTCTTTTCACTTGTGAGGTTGAACACTTTTCCATCATTTTAGTAAGACAGCAGTTTAATATGTGGCAAATACTCATTAAGTACACACTGACTGACTAGTTGGCTGATTCCACAAATATACATCTGTATTTAAAAAAAAATTATTGTTGAACAATGAGAGCACATGGACACAGGGAGGGGAGCATCACACACTGGGGTCTGTTGGGAGGGAATAGGGGAGGGACAGTGGGAGGTAGGGAGTTGGGGAGGGATAACATGGGGAGAAATTCCAGATATAGGTGACAGGGATGGAGTCGGTAAACCATATTGCCATTTATGTACCTATGCAACAATCCTGCATATTCTGCACATGTACCCCAGCACCTAAAGTGCAATAAAATATTTTTTAAAAATAGAAAAAAATTGTTATATCCATGAGGGAGTGGATATGAAGTAGTGATTAAAGAGCAATATTTTTATGACACTTTTCCCGTAATGTCAGTGGGATGAATTTAATAGGCAGTTGTATCTGAAAATGTTCCTTTGAAAGTTCTAATTTTTATCAGATTAGGTAAATGTTTTATGAAGGACCACATGAGCCCATGCTTCCATTTCAGAGAAGACCGCTAAATGACAGTGAGTTTAAATGATTTGCTGCAGTGAACTATTGTGCTCCGAGGAAATCAAACTGCTTCAGCTCCAGGCATTCCATGATTCCTCTCTTTAAAGTGTAATTTCCAGATTTGTCCAAGCTGGAGAAGTGATACACTAGCTACTGGCACTGATTAGCCAAGATGTCCTACTTTATCTTTAAAAATTACTTTGTTGAAGGGAGGATGAGGGAACAAGTAAATGCAATGGGGCCTCTGGTTTCAGAACTAGTTGGCTGAGTTCTTATATGTTACTTTTTCATATGATCCCAAGCTAAAGTCTAATTGCATCAAGTGTCCTTGGAAAATAGCAGAAAGGTCACTTCAGCTTTGTAGAGAGAACACTAATTACTGTAAAAGGCATTTTTTGTACTTTAATCCTTCAATGTGTCCCAATTGTACTTGACATCAACAACTGAATGTGCAACAGGAAACATATTCTGCCTTAATAATCCCTGTTTACACACAAAGGAGGGGTCATGCAGATTGCTTTCCCTTTATCATTGGATCATAACATTTCCACATGCATTATTTTAGAAAGATATAATTATGTTTATATGAGAATGGCTAATCATTTTATTTACGCATGTGCATGTAATTATAAGTAACCCCATGCTGATGTCAAGAGGATACTCTGTGTAAATAAACAAGTGCTTCCCAGATAGCTAGTTACTTCCTCAAGAAACTAAAATCTTGGGGAGGATGAGCCCCTATAATACATTGTGAAGTACTATCCTGTATGGCAGGCTTTTAACAAATAGCATAGCAATGTACTCCTTACATACTCAATGGGTGAGTTTAAAGCAAACCTAGTAATCTCGCAGCACCTCAACTTTCTCCTATGCAAAATGAGAAGACTGTCTATCCTCTCATTAGTTAGTTATAAGAGAGTTTTAAGTATAAATTAGCATCTCCAAAGTCACATGATGGAAGTTAGAATGTAATTTACCAGCACAATATTAACCCATAATTCTCCAGGGAGAGTTGGAATCAAATACAGAAAATTATTATTTTTTTCCCTGCAATATATTTCAGAACTCTTGGTAGTGGCTTCTCTGAATTCTGCAGGAGGCTCATTTACAACTAGAAAGTTGCTATTGGGAAAATGGCATCTGCTTCATTATTTTTCTATTCGGAGAGGAACAACAACAACAGAGTAAGACTAAAGTTCAAACCTGTGTTACATAAGGGAAGCCATTTAAACTTCATTTTCAGCTTCCTGGTCGATAAAATGAGGACAATTTTAAATGTGAGGCAGGTATGTGGTGAGGATCTGATTATGTGAAACTACTCTGAATTCTCTAAAGGACTATACAGATATTAGTTATTACTGGTGTTGCACTTCACCAGGTTAATCATTATAAAAGTAAAACTTAAAAAAAATTCAATTAACATGCCATTTGATCTAATTAAAGATAGGTTGATTCATTTGGTTTCACTGCTTTTGTGACTTAAGTAACTTAGTGGGAGAGGCAAACAACTGGAAGTGTCTACTGCAGCATTTCCTCAACAGTGGTCATTGATGATTAATTCTTTGTTTTCTATTCCTACCTCCCTAAAACTCAAAGGGTTGCATGATCAAATTACTTTGAGAAGTACTGATTAAACAAAGTAAAACAGATTTTTAATTTTTTTTCTTCTAGGACTGGCAAGAAATTTTATCATGCCAGTGTCCTTGACATTCCTTAGTGTTTAAGCATCCAAACTTATTTGCTCATGGAATTACCACCACCACAACCACATATCCCCCATAGCTCAAGAAATCTAGTTTGGGAAACGCTATATCAATTCAATTAGTTCTATTCAAAAAACAATAAGTAGAATATAAGGATTATTAACTGTATTACTTGAGTTTCTGCAAAATCATTAACATTAAATAGAACAACAGAAAACAATGACAAAACGTTGAACTAAAGTTGTAATGTTTCCCAAATTGTAATAACAACATAACCATTATAACCATTTTTTATGCTGAAAAAAAAAAAAAGAAATCACAGTTGCCAAGAAGAGCCTCAAATAGAAGGTGCAAAGGAACCTAACTAACATGGTTCAACATCTGACGTTTGTAAATACTGTGGAGTCCTGAAGTGGAAAGGTCCACAGAAAAGTCTTGGCTGGTGTACTAGTGAGAACATGTTGAGCTAAGCACTAAGCTCCTAAAACGGGAAATCTCTTACCAACATATTAACTTAGTTTTCTTCACAAGCAAATATCACCACCTGGAATATTATATTTTTATTTGTTTATGTCTTCAGGGCAATCAGGAAGGAGCAGGAGGAATATAATGTAATAAGAATGTAGACATCAAAGCAGGCAAAAGGTGTAGTAAAACTAAAACATTCCCAACAGATCACTTGTCCTATTTCTTCATTTTAAAGATAAGAAAATTCTGAGGTCCAGAAAGGGTAAGGTTGAAGCACCAAAAAGGGGTGAGGCAGACTGTAATGTACTCATTCTAGCTAAACTCTCATTACAGTGTCCAATCTAGGAAAAAGTAAGAGCTCTTGACATTTGAAACCAAGATATGGTATTGTTATATCACTCAACAGACAATTGAGATTTCCCTTAAGAACCAAAATCTATTTTTACCAGAGCAAAACATTAATCCATTGGGTTACATGAAGCACTATCAACATTCTGAAAAATAAAGCCAAGTAAATAAAACAAAATAAACTTTTATGTGCTGCAACTCGCAAAAGTGTATCCCACTCAGTTTGATTTCCTTGGAGACTTTGATGCAATATTTATACTTACTCAAACTTGACAGATTTCTTTTGATAAGTTTTCACACACTAATTGCTCTGGAAGTGACAGACAGTTTCTGTCCCATTGGCAATTTGTAACAACTGAGTAAATAGATACTTGGAATGCAGTATATTAAATAGATTGTGAAACTTCTGGTGCTCAGTTGAAAAATACCGAGACTAGCTGTATTGCAATACTCATTAAAGAAGAAAGACCTAGCAATGTTTTTTCTTTTGGTTTGCAGCACCCAAATCTATCGGAAATTAACTCTGAAACTTTAATTGGTTCCTTCTTCTGTATCTCTAAGCCAACAACAAATGATGTATGGCTGTTATTTTTAAAAGAAGACACCAGTCAAGAAATTTTCAAATCCAGGTACTCATTGAACAAATTACCCAAATGATCAATCAGAATTCTCTGGATGGTTGCTCTTTAATTGTTCTTGACATCAATTTATTTCTAGAGCTATATTATGCTTCATTACATTCTGAGTCATATCCCAGTAGTGGCAAAGATGTCAGTTTTCAAAGATGCCTTTTTTAACCTCAAAGTTTAAACTTGAAAGGGTTCTTAGTCTAACTTCTTCAATTTCACATATCAGAAAACTGAAGTCTAGAGAAACCATATGAGTGGATCATTATCACACAGTTGACAAGTGGCAGGGATGGGACTCTGGGGTAGCCTCAGTATTCAGAAAAGCTGGTTCTGTTAGGAAGCCATATGTTCCTCTAAAAATGTATTTTGGAGCCAGAAGCAATCAGTTTTCCTTATCTATAAATTGAGGGAGTGGGATTAAGTGATGTCTCAGTCTCTTTCATAAGTCCATACATTCTATATGTATATCATCAAATCCAACATACTCATTTGACAAATAAGGAAAGCAAGATCCAAGGAAACCCAGTAATTTGCCAGGAATCACATGGGTAGTCATTGACAAGGTCAAGAACTAGAACACACACATGTGCACACACACACACTCTTAT